AGTAGATAATAGGCAGCAAATTGCTGAAGAATAGATAGCTGGATTAGTGGAATATCAAGGCCATTAAAAAGGTGAAAGGACTGTAGGAAGAGAGATTAGCAGAAATCAGGTAGATTGCAATGAGCCATAATTAACTTCCTCAGCCACCTGATTAGAAATGCCACTGCTGCTGTTGGTAGGCAGTGGCCACATCTTCATGAGACACTGACTGTGCAGTAGCCCATGACTACTGTGCAGTAGCACTGCATGGCAGAAAGTGTGACACGATGCTACAGTGTAGTAGTCTCAGGCTACTGTGCAGCTAGTGTCATAAAAATGTTGTTTGGCAATGCTTGCACAGTCATTTAATACTTGTTTATACAAGTACTAGTATAAGTTTATACAAGTACTAAATGACTGTACAGTAACGAATGTGCAGTCAACTTCTCATGTAGACATGGCCAGTTAGTTTTAAACTTTGGGAGGAGCAGGAATCAAAGACAGCTGTGATTGCATTACTGCATCCTCCTGAATCTATTTCTGCTGGACTCCACTGTTCCCTCTATGTGGCTGCTTGAAGGAAAAGGAGGAAAAGAAGTGGCAACTGTCTTACAGTGTAGTGTTTGGTTTGGGCAGAAAATCAGATGTTCTGCTTAACAGACACCCAATTTTGGAAGGCTTATTCTTGAGGAAAAGGTGACTGTGATGTGTGAATAAATAAGGAACTCCTGCTGTTTATAAATATATGATGCATTTCAGTCATGGTTGCTGTTCTACCAGGTTTCTACCACTATATAACGAAAAGTGTCACATCCTGAACTGGTTCCTCCATTTTTTTTTTGCCAGTTCTAGTTCCTCCTTTTTTTTTTTTTGCCCAGAATCCTTGTATTAGTATACATACATTTTGGTTGACTATCTTTAATTGCCCAGCCAGAATAAAGTTAATCCTTTCCCTAAGCGTATTGTCTTTCTAATTACTATCAGTCTCAGTGCTTTCTGTCTCTTTGGGTTCACTCTTCTCCCTCTGAAATTTCTTTATGCAATGTTATATCTTTGTTAGTGTGATTTTCTTCTCCCTGGGCACATCTATATGTGATGCTGTGCTATAAGCCGTGATGAACTACCTCATTATAGTATGGAGCTACGGCGACGTAGCTCCGAAAAATAACCACGCACCTCTGGGACGGTGCCGTAATGGCTGTTACTGTGCCATCATGCAGTAATGCTCGCTAGCACCACGGCTGAAAAAGACTTGGGGGTCATGATTGACCACAAGATGAACATGAGCCACCAATGCAATGTCACAGCAGGCAAAGCAAACAAAACTCTTGCTTGCATCCATAGATGCTTCTCAAGTAAATCTCAGGATGGCATCCTCCCAAATGTACTCAGCCTTGGTGAGGCCTCAGCTGGAGTACTGCATCTAATTCTGGGCTCCACAATTCAAGAAGGATGTGGAGAAGCTTGAGAGAATCCAAAGGAGAACCACGTGCATGATCAGAGGGCAAGAGAGGCTGAGAGCCATGGGACTCTTCAGCCTGGAAAATCACAGGCTCAGGGATGACTTGATGGCAGCCTATAAGTACATAAGGGGTGTGCATCAGGATCTGGGGGAATGACTGTTCACCAGAGCGCCCCAAGGGATAACGAGGTCAAATGGTCACAAACTCCTTCAAGACCGTTTTAGGCTGGTCATAAGGAAAAACTTCTTTACTGTCCGAGCCCCCAAGACCTGGAATAGACTCCCTTCAGAGGTGGTGCAAGCAACTACTCTGGACTATTTTAAGAAATGTTTGGACACTTATTTTGCTGAGATCCTTTTACCTTAGCTGACTTCCTGCCCCTGGGCCAGGGGGCTGGACTCAGTGATCTTCCAAAGTCCCTTCCAGCCCTAGTGTCTACGGAATCTATGAAATCACTTGTCACAACTGCAACACGGGAATCAAAACCAGACACAGAAATGGTTATATTTGCTTGAATGCAAGACCAGGTTTTTCTCCAGTCATCGTGGTGGCGAAAAAGCCTGGTTTTAGATTCAACTACCAGTCCAGGGAAGGTGGCAGCTCAGCTCCAGCTTCAGCCCCAGCACCAAGCTCAGAGCTGAAGCTGGATCAAGCCGTTGCCTGACCAGGACTGGGAAGGCTCATTTGGCAGGGGAGGGGCTCACAGCAGGAGGGGCACAGGGGAGACCATGGGGTGGGGGGTGAATAATATAAGAGACCCATATGTGTTGCTCCCAGGGAGTGCAGGGGAGACTGCACAATGTACCCTCCCCCCCACAGCTGTCCTTTCCCTCCCGTACCTTCTGCTCTGGCTCCAGTCCTTCAAGTCTCTTTCCCCTCATTTCTTATTTTACAGCTCATAACAGTTGTGCTAGCCTGATTCTAAGGTAGACTTTATCTATCAACAAGAGTCCTCTCTGCATGAATACCATCAAATGGCTGAACATCTCTACACTGTTCCCATAGCACTGATCCTTGAAACATCTATTGATTTTTACTGCCTTATCTTGCATTCATCCTTCTTCTCTGGGTACTAAAAAAAATCAGTGGGACACTAGGTGAGCTACCACTCTTTTTAACATCTCTTCTAGTTTGGTGTGCTTATTCTTGATCTGTTCCAGTGCCATCTAACAATATCATCTGTCCAAATGTGAGAACTGATGCAAGTATTTTCAATTTGGTACTATCAGAATCCTTTTGAGGATCTCATGCCCTTGCTCCCAGTACACTCTTCATAGTTTTTGGGTTTGTTCTGGTGGCATATCTGTCAGCTCTTTTCAACAAGGAGATCCCAACTACAAAGAACTACCTCTTCCTGCTCTAAATCTCAGGTGCTCTCCCTTCCAGTCTTCTTTCTGTTTGCAAATCATTCTACCTTTTTTACTTCCCAGCATTATTTCTCCTTGACTCCATCTTCTCTTCCTCTCTTCGTGTGGAATTAGCTTCCTTCTTTCCTGTCTCACTTTCTTTTGCTGCTCTCTCCTCCTTCACACTCTCCACCACAGCAAACTTGTTTCCCAGATGTATTTTTTCTCCATAGCTTGTATCTTCTTTGCATTATCTTCATGGTCACAGGCTTCTGTGGATCATTCTTCTCACATAGCAGTCAGCCCTCAAAGCCATCCTGGTTATCAAGTGTTTACAAATCTTGACCCTCCTGTGAAGCCTCCTCTCTCCTGACCTCCATCATTTCTACAAGCCCCTTGAACTCAAGAATAATCTTAAACTGAATCTCTATTCCTCAACAACCCCTACTAAAAGTTCTTTCTAGTAAAATCTCTTGCTTTAATACCTTCTGTCAGGTGCCCACTCAGGGATAATGTACATACCAGAGCTTCAGCATCCAGTCATCATTGTTTCCTTCATTCTTCAGGCCACTTCCATTGCTGCATCAGAAACATTATTATCTTCTCTTTTTTAGCCTGAGAAAAGGACACAATCTCCCAAATTCCTCTTCTATGAATATATATTTGTTTACTCCCCTAGTTGCTGACTGTGTATCTTTTTAAGCATGTCATATTAAGTTTGCTCAAAGTCATGAAAATTCTTGTACCTGGACCTACAAGATTTCTATCCTATTCACAACATATATTATCCTAAGAAACTATGCAAAGGAACCATCCATAATACCTTTAAACTACCAGTAGCAACCAAACAAGCACTCAAACAGCAGAAATATAAATTTACATGTCCTCTAAACAAGGATTGTTCCTTCCTCTCCCATGCACACTCTCCTATTTACTGTTTTCTGTGTTCTGGGTTTGACCATGTAAAACGAACTGGTATAAACCTCTGTGAGGTTTATGTATGTAAGAAAACCTTTTGTGAACATCTTCTGAATTCAGCGCTTGTCTTGAAATGACAGTTCTGAATTTGCAATCATTTTGCATCACTCTACTGAATAGATCTGAACTTCCATTTACAGTGTTTTGGGAACAAATCCTACAGGTCCTGGCTGGGAGTTTACAACAGCCAAGAAGGATCTGTTCCTATATATAATCCATGACTGGTTTTGCAATAAGCTGATTTCATGTTAAGATATGACTGCAGTCAGTGCAGAATGAATGCTTATGCCTTGCAGACATCATCAATAAAGCTCATACCTTTCTACCTCATTACTGAGTCTCAGTGCTGCAGTTTAAATTGCTCACAGTAAATTGGGACAGTTTTCACACTGAAGTAATAACCTCACTAGACCAAATTCAACCCTACTGTTAAGTTAAGTAACTTCAGGTGAGTCATGCCTGCAATTATTACTGCCACTTGACTATATTTTAAAATAAAATAACTATTTCTACCCTCCTCTAAGTGAAATTTTAATCTTCTTTATCAAAAAAGAATTCCTACAAGAATTCCGAACTTTGTGTGCATGATTTAGGCTTTAACCAATGAATAGCCAGTTTATTTGTGAATCCCCAGGCTTTGTCAGGCAAACCAGCAAGAACTGCTGTTATACAGCACAGCCCTAACAACAAGTAAATGGAACCAGTTCCTTGCTGCTTCAGTTTCAGTGAAAGATGTCTGCTTAGAAGCATGGCAAGCAAACAAGTCCTCTGCATCACCAGAAAGCATGTACAGCACAGTCAGCAGCCAGACAGCCCTTTCTTCAATGTGTTGGCTGCATTATACCATACAAAGGAACAAAGAAAGGATTAACAAGTCTCTGTGGCCATTGAATCTTCAGGCTTCCTTTGAGGATACCCCTTGGGATGGTGCTTTTCAGCAATATGGACCCCTAGGACCAGGAATGAGACCAGTTCTTTTCACACAAGACACCAAACAGCTGTCAGGAGATGACAGTTATCTGTCACTTCTCACCAGGGTAGGATTCAAACAGGGACTCAGAGCTATAATGCCTCCTAGCTCATTACCAGACACCCATGAGCCATCCAGACCCCACAGGCTAGGCTTATCAATGAAATGCCAAGCTTATTTCTCACAACTTACATGAAAAAGATCCAAAAAAAGGAAAATATTCCTTCTTTAGCTGTGGGCTCCTGTCTTCCCCATATGTCTTACCTGAATCAGTGTCTCCAGCTCTACTGGGGTCACACAAACATGTTCCCGAAGGAAGTCTGCCTTTTCCAAGGCTATTGTATTCTTCTGGCTGCTTTCAAAGGGCTGCTCCAGGGCACGAAAGACAAGCCCTCCTGTTACCAGATAAGCTACAACCACAACAAAGATGGCAACTACTGTTTTCCACTTCATGACTGTCTGCAAGCCCTGGGAGGCAGTTTCCATGGTCACAACCATAGTTGTCCTTGAAGAAAGAGAGAGACGTGGAGCTGGGTAGGGCTCGTTAGTCTTGGGTTCACAAGCTGGTACGGCTGCAGGAACAGCCACTGAAAAGTAGAACAAAAGGTGATGTTAAAGATCTCTTTAGTTAAAAGCTGGACTTAATCTTCCTTCCCACATATACCAAAGTTTGGTAAGTTTCTAAATGGTTATTTCTGAAATTAATGGAAAATATCTTGTTACTTGGAAAATAATCTTATACTGATGTGACTCCTTCCCTCCTGAAGATCCACCAGCATTTCATACATTAGTATACAAATTAGGAGTTGTTTTTCCTACTGCCTCTAGGATAAGAACAATTTATAGGTGTACAAAACAGTTTATCCTATTGGTCGGGACACTAGGATAAATTTCTGCTTCTTAAATAGTAATTGATCATACTGGGATTATTAGTGACCAGAAACAAAGTTGGTGAAACTAAAATTGTTTTTTAAACAGTTTTACAAATCAAGGGGTATGACTTTCCCAAGTTCTCCTTCCCCTGAGCAGCTTTACCACTGTAGTTCTAGGTTCAGCATGGGAAAGAAGGAATGGGCAGGTCAGGTGGGTGCAGGAGCATCCCTCCCTGGACTGCCACCAAGGAAATGGTGTAGACATACTCAAAGCCCATGTATGGTTTGATACAGCTTGCACAGCCATATTATTCACAAGCTTACACAAAAGCAACAGGTGTTAGAGAAAGTGTCTAGTGGAGTTTCACACAACCTAGCATAAATCATTAACATTTTGTGACAGACATTTGCAAGTGAAACTCAACTCCCTGGAGAGAGCCAGAAGACCTATGCCTGTCAAGTCCCATTAAAGCCCGAAAAATAGGCTGACCTGGGCCCCTGAACTAGCACACTATTTTTCAAATGGATTGGACTAACAGTCTAGTTGTAGAGAAGATGCTAGTTTTATTTTAAACAGAACTCTTGCTGGAACCTTCATATGGTGTAGCTACCACTGGCCCATAATTTCTTTGAGATCACACTGGATCATCCCTCTTGTGACCTAAACAAGATAACCATTAAAATACAGCTTCTCTAGCCAAGCCCAAACTACATTTATTCCCAAAATACTATTGCCTCTTCAGCTCAAGAACTATACTAGGATATTGATTAAATCTAAAGACAGCAGTACTGTAAGCAGACTGACTATATAAGATTTGAACATAAAAACAAGATTACGCTTTCAGCTAAACAGCTTGCTACAACTCTCCCCCAGCAACAGGCTGTTTTATAGTACTGAATAATTTACAGAAACTCTACCATCAGCTAAAATCTAATTTTCTTACAACTGACACTTCTCAAGCATTACACTAAAGATGGAGATTCTAGCTGTTATGCTGACCAAAATAATGCTGACCAGTACAGCATGCCAAATTTTGCTCAGCATTTCATTTCAAAGCTGTTTCGATGTGTTTCGAGCTCAAAACAGCAAAATCGAAATAAAACAAAAGCATTCAAAACAGCTTCAAAATGAAACAAAGGAACTCAAAACATTTTGAGTTTCAGAGCCAGGCTTCCTGGCTTCAGCGCTGGTCCCAGCTGGTAGCACCTGCCTCCTGTCATCTGGCAGGCAGATTGAGGGCTTGCCTGCACCCCGGGAGGGCTGCGGGGGCTGTGCCACTGTCCTCCTGGGGGTGTGGGCCCCCAGTCTGCCTGCCAGATGACAGACCAGCACTGAGTACAGCCCGCACCCAGTGCCAAGAAGATAGGTGCTGCCGCTGGCCCCAGGCAGTAGCACCTGGCTCCTGTCGCCCAGCAGGCAGAGAGGGGGCACACACCCCCAGGAGGACTCTGGCACAGCCTCTGCAGCCCTCCAGGGGTGCTGGCAGGCCCCCAATCTGCCTACCACCTGACAGGAACTGGGTGTTGCTGCCTGGGACCAGCTGAGCTGCAGCACATCAGCTCATGCGGGGACCCGCCACCGCAATCCCAGGGTGGGGGAAGGTTCCCCGCACCAGCTGATTGGCCCCAGCCCCATACTGGAACCAGCTCAAGGAAGGTGCAGGGTCCAGGGCAGATCAGCTCATGCAGGGACCCTTCCCCACCCTGGGATTGGGGTGGCAGGTCCCTGCATAAGCTGATCTGCCCTGGCTCCACTGGCCCCAGGTGGCAGCACCTGGGTCCTGTCAGCCAGCAAGCAGATCGGGGGTCCATTGGCACCCCCCAAGAGTGCTGCAGGGGCTGTGCCAGAGTCCTCCCGGGGGTGCATGCCCCCAATCTGCCTGCCAGGTGACAGGAGCTGGGTGCTGCCACCTGGGGCCAGCAGCAGCACCAATCTTCCCCGTGCTGGGTGTGGGCTGTGCCCAGCACCAGTCTGTCATCTGGCAGACAGATTGGGGGCCCGCACCTCCAGGAGGACTCCAGCACAGCCCCTGCAGCCCTCCCAGGGGTACTGGAAAGCCCCCAATCTGCATGCTGGAAGAGAGGAGCCGGGTGCTGCCACCTGGGACCGGCAGCAGCACCAATTTTCCTGGCGCTGGTCCCAGGTGACAGAACCAATCTTCTCTCATCTGGAAGGCAGATCAGGGGATTGCACACCCAGAAGGACTCTGGCACAGCCCCCACAGCCCTCCCAGGGGTGCAGGCAAGCCCCCGATCTGCCTGCCTGCTGCATTTTATGTTTCCCCATAACAACTTATGAACGAAACATCAAAACTGCATCAAAACAGCAAAACAGTTTCAATTAAATGAAATGGAACCGTGCTTTCGAAATTAAATGAAACTCAAAACAAAACACTGTTCCATCAAATTGTCGAAATGGAAGTCAAATCAGAAAGGTGCTGTTTCACACAGCCCTACTGACCAGTAACTACTGAATGCAGTGGTCATTGGGTGAATCTATACGAGATGTTTACTGCACAGTAGTGTAATTTACTGAGCAGTAAGTGTGTGCATCTACACATGCACAATCTTACTGTGCAGTAAACTACTCTAATCACGAGTAAATTTGGTACCTGCAAATGCAAGTAGCAAATTTACTCATGATTAGTCACTGTGCAGTAGCGCTCATGTAGATGCCTGACTGGGAGCAAATGTGCTGCCAGTCAGCTGGGCAGCAGGGGGCAGGAGATTGCTTCCTGCTCCTGGCAGCTGCTGGCTACTAGGCTTGGCTCCACCACCGGAGCCTGGGCAGGGATTATGTTCCCCCACCCCAGCAGCAGGGAGCTCCCAAACCCCTGCTCTGAGATCACAGTTGGGGAGCAGGGCTGGGAGATCCTTATCTCCCAGCCCCCACTTCACCCTCATGATCAGGGAGTGGGGGGCTCCCCCTGGCTGTGGCAGGGGACCAGCACAGGATCAGTGGGGGCAGGAGCAGATTGCTGCCATGAGCAGCAAATCTTCTCCCAAGTCTCTGCATGTGTAGATACCTATCCATGAGCATTTACTTATGAGTAATTTACTCACAAGTAAACTGCTCCCAGATCAAATCCTTGTGGAGACACAGCCTTTGTACCCAATATTAATATTATTTTTACAGCAAAATTGTTTATGGAATACTTTCAAGAGAAAATAAAAACCCAGGATTTGCAGGAAAAGGAGCCTTTATGTAATTAATTGCCTCTCCTTTTCCAAATCCCAAATAATTTTTGTCACATCTGTTTTTCCTCACCAGCACCAGTTCAACCAGAGTACCCAATGTGTACCAGGTGGGGTGGGCTAGCATCAGATTAAGATGATACCTGGTGGGCACATCTACACAAGACACTTACTGAGGAGTTGACTAATTAGCTCTGTAGTAAATGTCCCGCATCTACACATGCAGTGCTTTAGGCAGGAGTAAACTAACTCTGCAGCAGGATAGTACAGCAGCGCACATGTAGACACTGATGCAGCTGACTGGGACATGAGGGTGCTTCAGTGTGGGGGCTGCCTGCCAGCTAGACCCACACTGGAGCACCCTTGTGCCCCAACCAGCCCCTCCAAAGCATGTTGAGCTGGCTCAGAGCAGCCCCAGATTGGCAGGCTCAACGTGCTGCAGTCCTGAGTGCACATGTAAACGCAGCACCTGGGAAGCAATAAACTGCAGTGTGATAAGTTCCTGAGTTTATTGCTTTGCATTAGTTGCACATGTAAACTTGCCCTCTCTCTCCAAATTTGGCTCATGTAGCCTTTGCAAATTCTAAAAATGATATTGCCTATGGGGAAGTGGTGACAACATTAGGGTCCTGGTTTTAGCAGAAAAGATCAATTGCTATATTCATCTAGCTTTCTGAAGGAAAAGAGTTACTGTGGCTGATCTAGCATGTTATCCCAGGACACAAAAAAAGGGGAGCAGGAAGCAAGAGTAATATAAAATAGAGTCACAAGTCTATGTATATTGGTTGAAAGAGTGGATTTGCATTCTGATCCTCATCTGTCACCACCTTACCATGCAAGTCACTAAAATATGAATTAGTTTCTCCTTGCTGAACCATTCATTAATTTTAGCAAATCTCAAAATGTATGATCAGAATCCCAGCCAATGAAAATCAACATAGCATAGCTCCTAGGACTTCAGCAATACTACATCAGTTCACATAGACTTAGAATATGGCCTCTAGCTATTATTAATAGCGATGTTGGAGGAGCACTAATTGCAGGTTCTAGCAGTCATTTAGTCCAGTGTAGGCCTACTGAGAAAAAAGGACTCAGAAGCCAGGACTTGCCTGGCATGTTTGGTGTACTGATTCCCTGAAGTGTAGCATATTTTGATATATAGGCTGGTGCTAATTTTTCATTGCATAGAGATGCATTGATACTATATCTCTCAAACAGAACAGGAAAAATAAAATGCCTCTACACATAGATGCTGCCTGGGTTGAGACTGCTCAAGGGAGATCTGTTTTCTCTGTTGCTTTAAGCATCTTTCTTATTCAAACCATGTTTTTAGCAGTGTGTTAATAACAGCTGTACAGAAAAAGCCATGGCTTGTTATATGACCCCTTAAAGGAAAGTGTGTTGCATTGATTTAAGAACAAGCTGTAGAGTACAGGGAAAGGAAAGTGAACTGCTTCACTTAAATAGGTCAGCGGGTTACGGTGTTTGATCTCTCAGAGCTAAAGACAATTCTTTTAAAA